CACACACAGATATATGTATATATGTACATATACACAAACTAGTGAGAGGCTCCAATTCTCAAAATACAATAGCCACAACACAATAGAGCGAAGATGCTGTATGTCTTGGAGATGCAGACCTGTGTGTGCAACAGGAGTACAGGAGATAAGAGCAGTCATGCACACCGGAGAGCACTGTCCTGCATGAGCTTCCTCTGTTCAGAGCGTGGGAGCTGAGAGCCTTCCAGGCACCTGAAGGAAACTCGGAGCCACAGGTGTGGGAAGGCCATCCAGTGGGTGCCCGCGGGGACAGGGTGCACCCGAGATCTGCACAGGTCTTTTCTCCTGCGTGGATGGAGGCAGCACAGAGCCTCTGCAACAAGCTACAAAATAAGGAGCAGGACCGCCATCCGGAAGACGTGGTGGGAAAAGCACACTGCTGAGCATGCTTTCGTTTATACACCAGAAGGAAGTTTTGGAAAACCCCAGAGCGGGTGGGGGCAGAGGAGGGCAAGCCTGCTGTGACGTCTCCCTGGGAGAGTGGGGGTCCATGAGCTCGGTGCAGGCAGAGACGACAAGGCCATCGAACCAAGCGAAACCACTTAGAACACATTGTAAGGAACTGGAAAGGCAATGGCAATGAAAACCGACGTTGATATCGGCGAAGAATTCATACTGAGAAGAAGCGTCAGTCAGCTAAGTGAATAATTAAAGTGGAGTGCGTTTCCAGACTGATTCAGGTGGATGATGAAGCCGAAGAAAATAAAGATGACTGGGGTAGATCGAGAATGAGTTATAGGAACTTCTAAGAACTATGGAAGTTTTTCAGGAAGAGACTAGAAGTGAGACGAACACTTCAAAGACATAAGCGAACATTTTTCTGAGCTGGACATACACAGTAAAAGATTTCCTTGGGAGCCAGCGAAGTATAATGACAACCACACCTGGATACATCCAGATAAAATCTATGTTTCCATGCAAAACCAGAAAAAAACCTGACAAAAGAACAGAAGTCCTGCTGATCAAAGGAGTCTCCCTTAGAGGAAAGCAGTCAACAATGACTTATCTAGACATTTCTGGAGGGAAAAATGTATCCCAAGAACGCTGTAGTCAGAGAAATTGTTTGCCTTATAAGACAGAAACAAAGAGGCTTTCTCGTGGATTCCAAGCCTCACAAAACATTCCTTCTGCCTTTTCTGTTGGCCTCAGCCACATGAAACCCAAATACAAATTAAGAATCCCCAAATGAAAGGGTTGTGATGTAAGATGATTTCTGGGTAAGCTTTGGAATCATTTATATATGAACACTTTCTAAACGTTTTCGGGACATTACGAAACACAATTATAAACGTGTAAAAAAAGATGGAATGTGTAAAATATTGTAAAAACTGGTATTCAAGGGGCCAGATTGAATCCATAAAGACAGAAAAGGGAGGGAAGGGGATGCAGGAAAGGAAGCATGAGGATGTAAGTGTGGGCAAAAGTCTGTATATTCCATAGGAACAATTTAAAAACTACCATTCTGTCTTCACTTTGATAGTATGTCAAAACAAAACAAAACAAAAAAAAACTTAAGAGTGTATTTCTTCTAATTTTGGGGTCAGGGAGGAAGACATTGTCACTCAAAAGCAACAGACAGAAGGCACTAAACAGACAAGCAAGAAGGGTATTCAGATTAATTTAAAAGATTGAATCTAATTATTTGCTAACTCTGATTAATTGAAAAGACTCAGTCTAATTATTTGCTAATTCCAACATGGAAACAATCATGTAGCCTCACGACGTATCTGAAGATGCAGAACATCGTTTAGTCACAGATCTTCGAGGAGGAAGAGACACCACGACACTGCTCCCTGCTCCCTCATAACTATGCAAGGTCCCCACTGGACTGTGCTGTGCATCAGCCCTGGTGACTGGTCCTACCCCCGGCCAAGCTGGGAATCAGGAGCAGGCTCGGCTGTGGTGGAGTCTCCCTGGCGACGGTATCTGGTGTTTTCCACTCTGCTGCGGTTGCTGCTGTAAACAAAGCATTTCTGGTGGTGCCATCTGGGCTTGGTGACGCAGCAGGAGCATTAAACCAGGACTTATCTCAGCAAAGTTTGACCTTCAGAAATGATGTGGAATCAGTATCCTTATGTGGAAACAGTTGTTCATAGTTCTTTGGCACATGAAACACCCTTTCTCCTTAAGTGGGGAGCTTCCCAAGAAGCCCTAACCATTCTGGCTTTTGTAGACCAGAGGCTGTGTGTCCCTTTAATTTCCTGAGCATGTATAGTCTGAACTGTGTGCTTCAGCACATGGCTATATGATTATTTTATCCTACAATATAAAATCTCTCTTCCAAAGAGAACCTCTATCCTAAAAAGCAAGAAGGCAGTATTCTTCGTTACTCAGTAAATTTATCATTCTTTTAGGGACTCTGTAGCTTTATTTATTTATTTTTATTTTTTTAAAAATCCTCACCCAAGAATATTTCTCTATTTATCTTCAGATAGAGCAGGATGGAGGGAGGGATGGAGGGAAGTGGGGGAAGGGAGAGAGAGAGAAACATCAATGTGAAAGAGACACATTGACTGGTTGCCTCCCACACAACCTTGACCAGGGCCAGGGACCGAACCGCAATGGAGGTACATGCCCCTGACTGGAATTGAACCCACAACTCTTTGGTCCACAGGCCAATGTTCTAATTGTTAAGCCAAACCAGCCAGGGCTGTAGCTTTATTAATTTTTTTTTTTTAATGGCAGTAACACTTTATCTGCCTGTAGGCAGTGGGTTTGATCAGATGACTACCTGAGATTCCTCTGGGTTCAGAGATTTTTAAGTGTTTGTGGTTAATTGTGTGCATGAGAGAGGGGTTAGGGGTTAACAAAAGAGGTAACATTGTTGTCCTCTTCAGGAGAAGTAGTGTAAATTGATGATTTCTTTACCCACCCCAGAGCTTAGAACTGAGTTGTGAACATAGTTGATCTTGTGGAGACTTGGGTTTATGGTGGTATATTTCCTCCTGTCACCTAAGGATACAAGAGGGAGTTGAGTACATTGTGAGCTTTGGATTAAGAGCCAAGAGATCCCACTGGCAGGCCTGCATCTAATGTGGCCTAAGACAGTCCACCTAGAGTTCTCTGGGTTAACTTTCCATTTCTGAAAGGAAAGGTTGGCATTTGAAGGGGAATTATGAACTGGTAGTTGCCCCAACTGGCTAGCAGAGTGTGTTATTGGGCCTTCAGGGTGTTGACACATTTTATTGCAACTGTTTTACTAAGGAAAGCCTTTAGAGGGGGTGCATGTGCCCTGCATTTTACCACAGTCCTCACTACTCCCTAGTGCCTGATCCCTGTCCATGCTACCGATTTATGTTTACCTTATTAGCTTTCATAAGCATGTGCTAATAATCTATAAAAGGGAGGAGGATTAGATTTTTGGTTTCTAACATTAGTTTTTTGTTTTTGTTTTGTTTTTTCTCTGCAAACTCTGTACCGTCGATGTGCAAAAGATTTTTTTAAAATAATTTTTCTTTATTGATTTTTGAGAGAGAAGAAGGGAGAGGGACAGAGAGATAGAAAAATTGTTGAGAGAGAACATCAATTGGCCACCTCCTGCATGCCCCACACTGGGGATCGTGCCCACAACCTAGACATGTGCCCAGATCAGGAACTGGTGACCTCTTGGTGCATGGGTCAATGCTCAACCACTGAGCCACACCAGAAAAGATTTTTAAAAGACTTTGGAGGTTAAAAACTATTTGACTAATTAGAACAAATGGATGTGGAAAAACATGTCAACCTAGGAAGACACACTAGAGAAATTCCAAATGGGTTTGAAAATGGAAATAGAAAAGCTGAATCAGTCTACTTGTTTTCAGGTGCCTTCTCTTCACAGTCATTAGTTTGGCCTGAACTACACCAAAATGGTCCTAATGGCCCCAGTCACATGAGCTATTACAGGTTGTCTAACTTGGTTAAATTCTTTTCTGCTTTAAATCGTTCATGATTCAGCATTTCATGGCTTGAGTCAGGTGCCTTCAGAGGGCTCCTTCCTCAAAGGTCATCCACTCTCCAGAACTCAGCCTCCAAGATGAAGGTGGCAGGTTCTGCTCAGTGACTTTGGGAGAATAATTATTTATTAGACGCAGGACTTTGGAGGCACAGTTCTATAGCAGCAGAGCCCTGGTTGGCAAGGACAAAAAGAACAAAGAAGCTGGTGAAACCAGGAGTTCTGGGAGGAGTGGGGTCGATGGGATTGAGGATATCTCTCTAACAGGATCCATGTGGCTAAGGAGGAAGACGAAACATTCCGTGTGTGTCCAAGACAGTAAGAGCCTCATGCACCTGACTCATTCCAACCTCACAAGAAGGGAACACTATTACCAGAGGGTAACAGATGAGGAAACTGAGGCTTGGAGAGGGGAGTGGCCTGGAAGAGCAGTTTCACAGTTAGCACAATATTTCATGAAGGGCATGTAACTCTTGTCTGCCCATCGGTGCTTGATGAGTGATGTATGCACTTTATTCATTTATTATGATGTCATGGTGTCTGAAAATAAGTTTCCAGTAAGTAAATGTTGACATGAGAACCCTTTTGTCAGCTGAAGTATGCAATCTATAAGGTTGAAGCATACATATTTCAAAACAGAGTGCCGGTGAATGCATGATACTTTGGGAGGAGGTGGGGTTTAAAGAGAGATCATTTTATGACATTATCAGAAACCAAAAAAGGGGAGGGAGGAGGATGCTTTTGTGATCCAACAGAACAAGAGTGATGAGAAAATGGAATATTAATATAGGTAGCAAAGCAGTATGCATTTAAAAATAATGGGACTCTAATTACCAAGTTTCTGGGAGGCCAATAGAGGATTTATTGTATTTTTTCCCCCACATGCTAACCAGCAAGTAGATGATTCATGTACTGGAAGAGGAAAAAAACAAAACACAATGATTTTTGTTTAATGCTATGCAGTTGGCAGCTGAGGATTCTATTTTTACCGCACCCCAGTGCCTGAGCGTGTTTCTCCCTTATTTAGGAAACCTGTGCTCAGTGCAGTCTCTTACCTTCCTGCTAAATACAGAGAACACGGCTGAGATCGCCACGCCTGGTGGTTACTTTAAGCAGGATGCCAAGCTCATCAAACAGGCAGACCTCATGCAACACCAGGTTTCTTTTACTTGCCCTGGAAGATGTTTATTTTGAGGAAGAATTGTTTATATGGTAAACCGAGGGATGGCATCATCGTTCAGATTATTTATATCGAGACCGATCGTTTCAGGATTGATGCAGGAAGCACTGGTAATTCTTTCGTGGTACTTGTAAGGAGTGGGAGACAAGGGGGGAAATGGGAAATGAAGGACATAAATGGCAGGAGTTAAGGTATCCTCTTGGAGGCCATGGACACACAGGATGAAGGCCACAGTCAGGAGAGTGAGGGACCCCAGTGTCAGGTGGGCAGCATCCCTGAGGTGGGAATTGTTCCTTCAGAGAAGCAGGGAGCTGAGCTTGGATTTAAAACACGGGTCTCCTCTTTGTTCTCTAACAAAATGCCTGGAGAACCCAAGGTTTGCAGTGCTGACTCTGAGTCAGATTTTTTCTCTTTTTAAATGTTGAGCAGCAAAGTTGGGTGTCTTTAGGGGCATTGACCATGGTAAACTTGTCATCTCTTCTGGGACTTCTTTGCACGTGAGCTAGATGAGAAATAATTATAATGGGAAAGAGCTTAAAGAACATGGTGAGATGTAGGAACTGTGTCACTGAAGACTGTACAAAAGGTATGGCCCAATGGGATTTATGTTGTGTGGTACCTTCACGCTGTGATCTATTTGAATGGCATGATCTACCGGGACACCATATGTGATCTAATGCGATCAGAAGAGGTGGCCGAGAGCATCGACGATGAGTAGCGTTTACTTTTGTTCTCCCCTGGGATCCCTCAGCTCCCTTCAGTCAGGGCTCACTTGATTTACCTTCTCCAAGAGGCCATCTTCAGCTGCATTCAGTCGCTCATTCATGCCTTATTACATTTCTTGGTGGGAACGTACATTGGTGCAGCCACTATGCAAAACAGTATGTAGGTTCCTCAAAATGTTTGGAATAGAGCTACCATATGACCCAGCAATCCCCCTTCTGAGTGTCTACCCAAAAATTTGAAAACAGTCATTTGTGAGGATATATGTACCCCTATGTTCATTGCAGCATTATCCACAATAGCCAAGACATTGAGACAACCTGAGGTTGACAGATGATTGTATAAAGAAGATGTACATATATACAGTGGAATACTATTTAATTACTTTTAGATTTCACTACCTTCACCCTTTGGGTTGTCAGAAATAGTGGTATAGATGATCACAGTTAATCTTCATTTGTAGACTATTTTGTATATATTTCTTGGCAACAAGGTATACACATCAACCAATATATGATTCCTTGAAGGCAGGAATAACAATGTACTCAGAAAAAAATGCATGTTTTCCGAGAACAGGGCTATTTTAGCTAGCTACCGCAGAACTGTGGGACTTAAATTTCCCTCCTATTAATTAAATATTTTGAAACTTTTAAACAGTGTTCAGCATTTTGTCAGGGTACCGAATTCCTTCTGTTTTTACTACCCATTGGATATTAAAATTTACTTTGCTCATTCTAAGTGCATCTATCTCGAGCTTACAGAGCTTTGTACAGGAGTTCTGCGGTTCCCGGCGTAATTGTCTTTCTAGATTTCAGTCATGTGTCACTCTTTGCCCTTGTGTTTTTCAGCCTGAGATGTCCTAATCAAGGTGACAGTTTATTAAATGTAGAGAAATGTACTGATTTGCATCTTCTTTTGTACCATCCCAGAGGGATGGAATAGAGATCCTTGATTATTGGAGGTATTTGGTGTTTACATGCACAGAAAACAGTCATACTTTGGCTGTCCAGATGTTAGAGTAGGTTCAGTTATGTTGGTGTAAGCATTTATGTCTTTTAGATAATTTACTGGAGAAGAGTTTAATATCCTCTAAAAGAGATCTGTAAGGGAAACACTTGGCAATCCAATTACATTTCCATTGTTTTATTCCTTTTTCTTTAACTTTTATTAATTCTTCTGGACTTTTAAAGAAAACATGATCTTGTATTATTTTGATATCTATCCTCAATCGATGCTAATTTTAGTATCTCTTCTTTTATTAGTTTGGTAGGTATTACCTTTAATAACTTAAAAATAAATACTGCAGTAAGACCACCCAAGGTCAGCCTACATTTGGAAAACTGACTCCGTTGAAGAATTAATTTAACAAGAGCCTATTACACATTTTACTTGGGAGATTCACCAGGATTCTTTCCATCTCTGTGAAAGCATTTATCCTCCAGAAGAAACTAGGCCTCATTTTAGAGAATACCACAGTGACCAAACTTAGGAAATGGCATGACTCCGGCTCTGACAGTGTGTTTAATTTCCACAGCATTTCAGCCCTGAGTGGAATGGAGCGGGTAGCAGTTGCGTTTGGAACACTACCTCCTTCAGACGTCTTAAAGCCATTCAAACAGTACACTGAGGCACAGAAAGGGGCAGGGGTGCTACTGCTAACTCAGCCCAAAGGTGGTGTCATCCTTGCGTGGACATTTTCGTCTGGGTCCCTGTGATGTTTGTGGCTGGCAGGAATCACATGTCACTCAGTGTTCATCATGGAGGGGTGGGCGTAGGAAGACCAGTCAGCCTGTGTTGCATGGGCGAGGAGGTAGAAACCAAGACCTTAGATGTTTCTTTCAAGATGTTTTGCTTGGAAGGGGACTAGAGAAATTGAATACAAGCTCGAGGAGGAGGTGTGGCATCAACGGGTATTTTATTTCTATTTGAGATAGGCAGTGACTGTGGTGAACACAGGCAGTGACTGTGGTGAACACAGGCAGTAACTATGACCATAGGGATAAGGCAGAGCGAGAGAGCGAGATGATGGAAGAGAAAGTGGGAACAAGTACCAGAGGTGGGAAGAAAGGGTTCAAATGCAGAAATGTCCAGAGCATCCTCTGTGTCCAGATCATTCATTGTCCAGCCCAGCCTAAAACTCACTTTGGACTCAAAGGGGCATTCTTCCCCAGACACTGTGCCACGGGGACTGCTGGACAAGTGTGTCCATGCCCGCCTTGATCAGGGTGCCCAGCACTTGGGGATCTTCAGAGCCGTGGAGAAAGTACCGTGACCAATGAAAGCACATCACAAAAGTAATCGGTGGGGGAGCTACTGCCAGTCAGCTTGACTTGGTGGCAAGAGAGCCCTCCTTTTCCTGATCAGCAGATATTGAGTTTTCGGTCATTCTCTCCTCAGAGCAACAGGAACGTAGCATGTGGACTTTGAGCTTCATTTTGCAATCCGTCGCCTGGCCATTGATGAAGAAAGAAAAAAAAGACTTTTCTGATTTTTGCCAAAAACAAAGCACAAACGCCTCTCTTCCTGCCCACCAGACAGTGACACCATAGTACCACTGAACTCCGTGCTGAGAGCCATTTGAGGTCATAGTTGGCAATTCTCTTGCTGGTGGCATTCAGGCTGAGAAGGACAATTTTTTAAAATTTGGTTTTTCTTTATTGATTTTGAGAGAGAGAGATGGAAACATCGATGAGAGAGAACATCGATTGGCCGCCTCCTGCATGCCCCCCACTGGGGATCGGGCCCACAACCTGGGCATGTGCCTTGACTAGGAATCGAACCAGTGACCGCTTGGTGCATGGGTTGATGCTCAACTGCTGAGCCACACCAGCTGGGCTGAGAAAGACAATTTTAAATAACTGTGTGTGACATGTTTGGACTGAAACACAACCAGTATGCATGTTGAACTCACAGCAGGACATCCCTCTTCACACTCTTTTTGGTAACGTGTGTACATGCATGTATGTGTAATATACCAAACTTGTCAACATTGCAAGGGTAGAAAAGAACTTCACAAAGGTGTTTAAGCAAAAACTAATTATTTATACTTTACCTTTTTTGCTTATCATTCACCTCCTTCTTCCCCTCTCTTCTCTCTCCCTTTTAATGTCCCCTCCTTCTCTCTCTTACTTTTCTTCTCCCTCTGTTTCTCTCCACCCCCTCCCCACATATGCTTTTATTAAAAAAAAAAAAAAAAAAAATTGAGATTAAGTTGGAGATATCATGACTTTGGCTTTTAAATACTTCAGTATATATTTCCTAATGAAAAGGATATTCTTTTACATAAATATAATAAAAATCAAAACACTTAAATTTGCTGCAATTTCCTTATCTAGTCCACAGTTCAAATTCAAACTTCATTCAATGTCCCAGTAATAGCCTTCATATTTTTAAAGATTTTTAAAATTGGCCTGGCTAGCCTGGCCAGTGTGGTTCAGTGGTTGAGCACTGACCCATGCACCAACATGTCGCTGGTTCGATTCCCGGTCAGGGCACATGCCCAGGTTGTGGGCCTGATCCCCAGTGGGGGGCATGCAGGAGGCGGCCAATCAGTGTTCTCTCTCATTGATGTTTCTATCTCTCTCTCCCTCTCCCTTTTTCTCTTTCTAAAAATCAATAAAGAAAACATAATTTAAAAAAAAAGATTTTTAAAATTGATATTTAGAGCAAGAGGAAGGAAGAGAGAGAAAGAGAAACATCAATAATGTGAGAGCAATACATTGATCGGCTACCTCCTGCACGCCCCCAACCGGGGGTGGAGCCCGAAACCAGGCATGTGCCTGCTTGGGAGTCAAACCGGCCACCCTTTGGTACACAGGATAACACCCAACCAACTGACCCACACCGCCCAGGGCTCCTTCATATTTTTAAACACTTCTTAAAGCATGAGTCCCCTGGTCAGGCTTCTTATGAAGTCACTCAGAAACTTTGAGAGGGAGCAGATGGTTACTCTGCCATAGCATTTACGTCCAGACTCTTGGCAGGTGGTATCAGGGTTCTCCAAAGTGTGTGCCATGAAATGCTCGTCCCAGGAAACGCTCTGGGAAAGGAAGATGTGGGGCTCCAAATGGGGGAAAGCTTGAACAGCGCTCACCCACCCCCATTTTGCTCGCCCCCTGCAGACTTACAGAATGTATTGCTAAAGACCGCCCAAGTGCTCGCCTATGTACTGTGCAGACACCTCCTGTTTGTTCAACCCAGAATTTCTCGACATAGGGACCATGGACCGTCCGACTACTACCTAGTTCGCCGTTTCTATGTTTGCACAATATTAATTTCACTTTAAAAATGCATTCCTCTTCTATTTTTTTTAAATGTGAGCTCGTCAAGCTTCTTTCTGAACACTGAAAATGATTCTACTATTTTATAAGAGATTTAAAATATTTCCTGTTTCCCTGTATATGCAGTGGTAGTTATCAGATCCAGGATGTCTCAGAAGTACCTACTGCATGAGGCACAATCTAGGATCTGTACCAGAGAAAGTCCACAGCGGGGCTCAACAAACAGTTTGTTTCTCATTCACCTGCGTCCAGGGGCGGGCTCACTTCCTTGCAGTCATTCAAGAACCAGGACATGGGAGGTTTTGCCATTTTTACCGCAGGGGCTCCCCAAATCACCTTGGGTGTCATCATCTAATCAGCGAAGGGGAGCAAGAGAGGGCAAAGAAGTGTAGGGACACTTGTATGGGATGGACCCTGTCATTTACACACACATTCATTGGCCAGAATTCAGCCCCCGGACCGCGGCTGGTGGAAGAGGACAGAGGAGTGCTGTTGACGGCTGGACAGCTGTCCCCGGGAGTGAATTCTGAATGCGAAAGGGGACATACATCTTTGGTGCACAACCAGCCATCTCTAGGTCTGTGTCTGTGCAGTTGTGAGGTCCATGGTTGATTTGTCATCTTGTGTTCGATGGAGTTCTCCTATTTGACTCCTGCGTGGGCGCTGTTGAGGGCAGCATGGCAGGTGGGCTCCTCTTTCTGCAGATGCAGGAGCT